TGAATTCCATTTCAAAACCAAGCAGTCATAAACAAACTGTGATGCCGATGTTCACTGAATTTCACCTCAAAGCCAAGCAAACTGTGATTAAACACTCCAGTCCAGAGAGACCATCGATATGGGGGAAGTCGAGCAAAACACAAACATCGAGCAAGAACTGAAGAAAAGCTAAAGATTCCAACTGCAAACAACACAAGCTTCACCTCTCCTCACTACAGATATATATATACACACAACACAACATTATTCAGAAACAGCAAACATAATCTGCATTGCCCATAACCTGATGATACTTACTTTTTCATCCTCTTAACACATAATTCAATACATAAGCATCATCATCATCTGCTATCTTGAGTGAAGATTCTGCATGAGCAGCAAGATGACCGACCGAGCCCCAAACTTCATCTCCAAAATACCGAGAAGAGCAAAAGTTTTCCACATAGGTAGGATCAGACGAGACCATAATATTAGAATTTTCCCAATAATTCCCCAATGGCACGTACGCATGAGCTTCCGATAACCACCCAATATTCCCGAGTGGAGAATATCTCGACAGATCACAAAACGGGATCAAAGGTTGCCCTTGTCCCACGATGATTTCATGATCCCAAAGAGTGGGCCCCTCATCTTTCTCCATAATAATATTCTTATGCAAATCGTCCGAATCTTCACCGAGTAAGACATGCAGAGCAACGGCCTCTGATATTCTAGCACCTTCCTCATCGAGCCTTTCTTGTTCGTCCTTCTTTTTCTGCTTCTTTTTCTCGAGTTCTGATCGTATGGCTGCTGAGGTGGCAAGGGCCTTCTCCAGGCGCCTTTTTTTCTTCTCAGCCTGTTTAATACGATCGAGCTCATCCTTGACTTGCTTTTTCTTGGTTTTTCTGACTGTTACTTTAGCACCTTCCATGATATACCGTCACGCTTGACTATAGTATATTACACCTCCGTATGTGTCTCAAGTTTCTTTCTTTATTTTTTTTTCCCGGAATTTTCTTTGTCTATCTGACTTTTCACTAGTAACTTCACCTATGAAGTACACATTATCTACCCATTTAAATGTTACCTGTATTTTTTTGGGAACTTGTTATTGAATCCGTTATGAACTAAAAGGAAAAAAAAAAAAAAATGGAAACAAGGAGAGGGACGCCGGATATGGGAAACTTACACCTACACCCACTCAGGTCTAAATGAATACCTCATTTTACGAACGCTACATTCCCAAAAAGAAATGACAGGAGAAAGAAAGAGGGAAAACAGGTAAGCACTTATTGATCCCTTTTTCACCATTGCTCCCGATTTTCCACAACCCAAGCTACCCATTTCACAAACTAACGTAAGAATATTACTGTTGATATTGATATGAAGTAACTATTCGTTTATATTACAGATAAGTCACATGGCCTTCCCTCCTGCAATAAACAAGAATAGAATCAACAGCTAGCAACCAAGTACGACAAACAGAAATGCGGCGACTAAAACAGAATTACTTCAGAAAGAACTCCAACCAACAAATCGATGGTAAAATGATGTACAGCCACCGATGCAAAAAAAAAAAAAAAAAAATAATATAGTGAACGACAAACTAAACATATTCTAACTGCCTTAACTTACGAAAAACTATATTAACAAATGAGATCATGCACGTCAAGACTAGATCTTTCTAACACAGGAGCATAATATGATCTCTATAATACACACAATTTAAATGAAGAATTTAGTAGCCTACACAAGCTAGAATACCAATTGCTCTCAAGAAACTTATTAAGTTCCCATGTTTCCCACTTCTACTCAGAAAAGATCCAACTTATAACACAAAAATCAGTAACTTAGAACAATAACTGGGTCAATTCTATACCATCATTTCATGATTCAACCAACAAAACTTAGCAGCACAGCTCTAAATTCAGGCCCCAAAGCCAAAAGAAAAAGAAATTGCCAGTCAATGAAAAGTCCACTGACGCCTGCAAGATCAGCAACTCAGATGCCAAATCAACTCGGAAATAAACCCGGCGTTTAACCTAACAATTCAGTCAATATTACCTTTTCTAATTAACAAAGTACAAGTTCTAGCTCGATCCGCAGAAGCCATAACCAAAATCTGAACAATAACTCAAATATCAACAATCAGCACTCAATTAAGAAGCCATACATAGAAAATTACAGATAGTTCACACACAATCAATAACAGAAACCGCAAAAACACTGAAAATTATGAGTCAAAAATCGAAGCTAAAAAGGAAAACCTGTCGTAATATAGGAGAAAAGCAGAGGGACCTCCCACAAAGCCAATCGACACAGAAGAAGATAAAGCACAATTTGATCTCTGCCTTTGGAAAAAGAGTGCGTTTCTGTGCGTGTGAAGAGATAGGGAGAATGAATTATTTTTTACAGTTTATAAAATAGAGAAATGCTAACCATCTCGTCCATATTTATAACCGTTAGATCATTATGTAACCATGGAGATAATTGATCTAACGGTTACAAATCCAAACGGAATGGTTCCGTAACGGGATCATAGAATCTCCCTATAAAATAACTAATCACATGATATTGACGATTAGGAGGACACGTGTCGGTTAATATAATAAATGTTGCTCGTAAGATTGGCTCCACGACTTGAATTTTTGTATGGTTAAGAGCATCTCCAACGGTGTGTGAATTGTAGGATTGTAGAAGACATGCAATAAAAAAAACTTCTCCAATCGTGATTTTTTTATTTCTATTAGTGATGATGTGGCATGAAAGATAACCAATAATTCTAGAAGTCCTTCTAGACTTAATGAGTTATTTTTTCTCTTATTTACAAACAAAATAAATGAATTATGTGGAGATAGAAATAAACCATTGGAGAACTAATAGAATATAAGATATTTGTAATTTTGTATTAAAAGTGCTATTCCTATAATAAAGGTGTAACCAACACTTTAGCACTTTTAGTTATAGGTATTAGTATAAATAGCCTTCATGTAAACCCTAGTTTCAGTTTTTCACTTCTCTCCTCATCTCTCTCTGTATCTGCCGCACTCATCCATTTTTCTCTCTTTCAATACAATCGTTCAATTTTTCTTTGTTCATGTGTTTGATTGTTACTTGATATGGTATCAGTCGCATAGATCCTGTCTTTCCGCTGCTAATCGATCCGATATTTTTCATTTTTTTTTTTCGATTCGATCTGTTCTTCGATTTGTTGTTATCTCGTGAGATCTGTCCCAAATTCGAGCGATTTTGATGATGACTACCATAAATCCATCAGAAGATCCGACATCCGCTTACTTTCTGCACGCCAGTGATAATCCTGGTGCACTGATCGTCGCCGAGCAGTTCAATGGCGACAACTACGTGTCGTGGTCCCGCGCCGTTTCCATGGCTCTCAGCGTGAAGAACAAAATCGGCTTTATTGACGGTACCTTGTCTGTTCCCAACCCTACTGAAAACCCTAACTTGTCTCTTGCTTGGGTTAGGGCTAATAATCTCGTTTTATCCTGGTTATTGAACTCTGTCAATAAAGATATACGACAATCTCTCTTGTTTTTCACTATTGCTCAAGATGTATGGGAAGAAATTCGTTCTCGATATGCTTTGTCTAGTGGTCCGCGTGTTTTTCACCTAGAAAAATCACTGAGCACAATAGATCAGGGTAACATGTCTATCACTCAGTATTACACTTCTTTTAAGTCTCTGTGGGATGAATATGTCACTTATCGCCCGATTATCAAATGTCTCTGTGGTGCCTTCACTTACTGTTCTTGTAAAATTTTTGAGGCTATGGCCACTGCTCAACAGCATGATTGTGTTATGAAATTCTTAATCGGGTTAAACGAGTCTTATTCCTCTCTCAGAAGCCATTTTCTTCTTTCCAAACCATTACCACCACTTACCACTATATACTCGTTACTCCTTCAAGAAGAAAGCCAACGATCACTTTCTAATACTACACCCTCAGATTCTCTTGCTATGTTGGCTAAAACTTCCCAACCTTCACAGCATACCTCTCAGCACAAACAGTTCCATAACAAACCACCCAATCCCAACACCACCAGAGATAAAAATCGACCCAAATGCTCTCACTGTGGCTACCTAGGCCACACTATTGACAGATGTTATCAATTAATTGGCTACCCACCCAATTGGGTTGGACCTAAGGGTCAGAGAACCTCAAAACAACACTCTGCTCATGCTGCTGTTTCTGATACAACCTCTCCTACTTCTGTTACTCATGATGCATCTTCCATGACTAACAGTTTATTTCATGAGTTTTTAGCCTTTAAGAAATCCCAGGAGATGAAAAATTTATCTCATGAACCTCCTATGGTTGCAACTGCTTTTGCTGAGCCCTCAGGTATGACTACACCTTTCTCATGTATGGTTACTAAAAATTTGTGCAAAACAACATGGATTTTGGACACTGGTGCAACTGATCACATGCTTTGTAGTCCTGATTTTTATACCTCCAATGCTCATTCTGTTTCTGTGCAAATCAATCTCCCTAATGGCAACCATACCTTTGCATCTATGATAGGACATGTAAAATTATCTGATTCACTTACATTATCTGATGCATTATATGTTCCATCATTCTCCTTTAATCTAATATCAGTTTCAAAGCTGGCTGCCACTAGTAATTGTATTGTCAAATTCCTGTCTTCCTCTTGCATTATACAGGATCTGACAAACCTCAAAATGATTGGTTCTGCTGATCATAAAGGAGGATTATATCACCTCAACTTAGATTCTGATAATTTTTCTCACTCAAATGTATCTGTTGCTAACCATGTATCCCCTCATCTACCTGTAACATCATCAACCTCTGACACCTCTCTGTGGCATAATAGACTGGGACACTTATCATACTCTAAACTTCATACTTTACCTATTCCTCTTTTACTCAATAAAGACTCCATACCATGTGATGTTTGTCATTTTTCAAGGCAAAGAAGATTACCTTTTACTGAAAGTAATTCTGTTTCTACTCATCCTTTTGATTTGATACACTGTGATGTTTGGGGCCCCTTTTCAATTCCATCATATTCAGGTCACAAATATTTTCTCACAATTGTAGATGATCACAGCAGACTTACTTGGATTTATCCTATTCATATGAAATCTGATATCAAACATCATTTTACTCACTTTTACAATATGGTGTTGACTCAGTTTGACAGAAAAATCAAAGTAATTAGAACTGATAATGGCACTGAGTTCATCCTTAAACAATTTTACTCTGATCATGGCATTTTGCATCAAACCTCATGTGTTGAAACTCCTCAGCAAAATGCAAGAGTAGAAAGAAAACATCAACACCTTTTACAAGTTGCTAGAGCCATATTATTTCATGCTCATCTTCCATTGCATTTTTGGGTTGATTGTGTGCTAGCTGCTGCTCATATCATAAATAGAATCCCCACTCATGTTTTGCAAAACAAATCTCCATTTGAAATGCTATTTAACAAACAGCCAACTTATGACCACATGAGAGTTATTGGTTGCTTATGTTATGCATCAACATTGGTTGCTAATAGACACAAATTTGATGCTAGAGCTTCTAAGTGCATTTTTCTTGGATATCTACTTGGTTGTAAAGGTTATAAGCTTTACAACCTTGGTAGACATTGATTTCCAGGAATGTTATATTTTATGAAAGTGTGTTTCCATTTGCTCAATCTTCAACACAAAATATTCCTAATCTTCTATTCCCACAACCTGACTCTACCTTTATTTTTGACAACAATCATCTGTCACCTTCTTCTGATAACCATTCTTTTGTTCCTATCACACCTTCTGATGATCACTCCCCAGTTCACAATACCTCTTCTTCCCCCACCCCATCTACAACTACAAATTCTCCTATACCACAATCTCCTACATCACACAACCCTCCACATACTGTTTCAACTCCTGATTCACCCTTAAACAGGAGAAAGTCATCAAGAATATCCAAAATTCCAGCTTACTTAAACATTTACAAGCATTCTTTAAATCACCATGCTGCTGCCTGTTCAACTGACACACTTCCTGAAATTCCTGGAACATCAAATTATTCAATTTCTGATTTTTTATCTACTGATATGCTGTCATCATCTCATAGCTGTTTTACTGCATCCATAAGCACTATTTCTGAGCCCAAATCATATAAACAAGCAGCAAAAGACCCTTTATGGGTTGAAGCTATGAATAAAGAGTTAACTGCCCTAGAACAGACAAATACTTGGGTGTTAACTGATTTACCAAAGGGCAAGCATTGTATAGGTTGCAAATGGGTTTTCAAAATAAAATATAAATCTGATGGCACTATAGAAAGGTATAAAGCCAGATTAGTTGCCAAAGGATATACCCAAGAAGAGGGTATTGATTATTTTGACACTTTTTCTCCTGTTGCAAAAATTTCAACTGTTAGATTTCTTGTTGCACTTGCATCCATAAAAAATTGGCATGTTCATCAATTAGATGTTAATAATGCTTTCCTTCATGGTGACTTGAATGAGGAAGTGTATATGACACCCCCACTTGGTTACTGTTCAGAAAACACTTCAAAAGTGTGCAAATTAACTAAAAGCTTATATGGTTTAAAACAAGCTTCTAGGCAATGGTTTCATAAGTTAACTTCCTGCCTTCTTACATATGGTTTTCATCAATCTGTTGCTGATTGCTCTTTATTTTATATGCATAATTCAGATTCTGTCACCATTCTTCTAGTATATGTAGATGATATAATATTGACTGGTAATGATATCTGCCAAATAAATGCCATTAAGTCTCATTTAGATGCATGTTTTACTATCAAAGATTTGGGACAACTCAAGTACATTTTAGGCTTAGAGTTTGCTCATTCTCAAAAATGAATTCATATGTGTCAGAGAAAATATGCTTTAGACATTCTAACTGACACTGGCTTATTGGGTTGTAAACCAGCCACAACTCCTATGGATCCCTCTGTTAAACTTAGTAAAAATGATGCATCACCTTTACTTGATAACCCTTCTGAATATAGAAGACTTGTGGGCAGACTTCTTTATTTAACTATTAGTAGGCCTGATATTGCATACTCAGTTCAATCTTTAAGTCAATTTTTGTTAAGTCCATCACAGTATCATCTACAAGCAGCCAACAGAGTCCTCAGGTATGTAAAAGGAACACTTGGCCAAGGTATTCTCTTTCCCAGAACCTCTAGTCTTCATTTATCAGCTTATTCTGACAGTGATTGGGCTTCTTGTATTGATACAAGAAGAAGTGTTACTGGTTTTCTTATTTTTCTTGGTGATTCTTTAATATCTTGGAAAAGTAAGAAACAACCTACAATTAGTAGGTCCTCAGCAGAGGCTGAGTATAGGGCTCTAGCTTTTACTACCTGTGAAATACAGTGGTTGATATCTCTTTCATCTGAACTTAAAATACCACTTACTGCTCCTGTTTCTATGTTCACAGATAGTAAGTAAGCTTTAGCCATGGCATCCAACCCTGTATTCCATGAAAGGACCAAACACATAGAGCTGGATTGCCATTTAATAAGGGAGAAGATAGGGCAAGGACTCATACAGCTCTCTCACATTTCCACCAAGGACCAACTTGCAGACTTTCTCACCAAACCACTGCCTGGACCTATCTTCAAATCCCTTACCTCCAAGTTGAGCATGCCCAACATTCATGCTCCACTTGCGGGGGGGTAATAGAATATAAGATATTTGTAATTTTGTATTAAAAGTGCTATTCCTATAATAAAGGTGTAACCAGCACTTTAGCACTTTTAGTTATAGGTATTAGTATAAATAGCCTTCATGTAAACCCTAGTTTCAGTTTTTCACTTCTCTCCTCATCTCTCTCTGTATCTGCCGCACTCATCCATTTTTCTCTCTTTCAATACAATCGTTCAATCTTTCTTTGTTCATGTGTTTGATTGTTACTTGATAAGAACTTTTATGGACTTGAACCTCTATTTGTTCCACCTGGATGGAAGTTCATCCATTTAATTGCCACATACATTACAATTCATGTTCACGGTTGGAGATGCTCTAAGGATCTAGCATTTTCACGCTAAAATATAAATATTCTTTTATGTAATTTTTAGAATTTTCTTTAAAAAAAATCAAGTTGGATTCGTTAATATTGATAAGTAGATTAACTTTGAACTCGTTAATCATATTGTTTGATTAACAATATGGTTTGATAGATACTCAGAGTGTGAATTTAATAATCATATGCTTAAATCGTCGTTTAAAGTAAATATATTTACGGTGTAAATATCATTATTGTTAATCCAGCCACTAATGTTGACAAAGAAAAAAGGCAGCCGCAATTCTTGAAAAAATTGCAACAGTCGGATTGCTGATTTAGTTGAAAACTTTTGAATTCACAACTGTTGGAATAAGGTGCATTCCCCTCTATAAGTAGAGGCGGATTATGATGAAGCAAAACACACCAAAACTGCACCAAATCAAAGAGAAAGAGAGAAAATAATAATAATAATAATAATAATAATAATAATAGAGGGTGAGAAGGAGGAAGAAAGTTTTAGTTTATGTGGGCATTTGGCTTGAGAGTTCTTAGTGAGTTTGAGAGTGTTTTGTAAGCACGAACGTATTTCTTTTTTCTAATAGAATATGTACAGTAGCCTGGAGACAAAAGTATTATTGGCCGAACTGCCTTATCAATTTGGCGTATCCAATTTTTTGTTTCTATTTCACTTTTATATATCCGACTTCATTAAAAGTTGAACGTATTTATTCACAACAATTATGACATAATAACACAAAAAAAAAAATAGTTATTATGAAAAAAATTGCATCTTGATGTTCACTGGCGAGTCAAGATCTTTCGTAAATGAAAATTTGCCAACATTTAAATGAGTGATGTTTGAAATTTTGAGACTTAATTAATCGTTTTCAATTAGTTGCGCTCATTATTCTAAATGACTTGTAAATGAAGTCGAGCACCAGTTTTAACGAGCAGTTTATTTATCAAACAATTTGAGCTATAAAAAATTATATAAGAAAATTATTTTATGAATTCACGGATAGCCTCAACATACTCATTAACAAAACGAATTTGAAACGAGGTCGAGTTTGATTTGTTTATACAAAATAGTACCGAATTGAACTCACGGATGAATCGTTTAATGGAATAACACTCCTCAATCCTCATATGATCCGCGCGCTAAATAACAATATGGGCAAAGTTCAAGGACCAATTTGATGATAAATCACATTCTCATTTTCCCAAGAGCAACGATATTCAACAAAAGGTCCCTGTGCTAAATAATAATATAGGTAAAGTTCAGGGACCAATTTGATGACATTGATATTCACGTTCTCGTTTTCCCTAGACCAAAGATATTCAACACTGATCAGTTGAGTCGCACAGCTGAATCTGAATCGCCATTTTTACTCACCATTTTAACAAAGCATCAAATTACACACAGTCGCACACACTGCGGCGTTCATTGTTCCGCCGGAAAATTTCCGAATCCCAGCAATGATATCCCTCAACACCATCGCCAAACCCTCGCCGCCTCACCTCCGCCCCAAAAAACCCCTCAGGAGGCCGCCCAAAATCCTAGCAGCCGCCGCCCCAATCCGCGCCTTCCTCCAGTACAACCGCAAGCCAGAGCTATCCGGCGAGACCCCCCGCGTCGTGGTCATCACCTCCGGCAAGGGCGGCGTCGGCAAGACCACCACCACCGCCAACATTGGCCTCTCCCTCGCGCGCCTCGGCTTCTCCGCCGTCGCCATCGACGCTGACGTCGGTCTCCGCAACCTAGACCTCCTCCTCGGCCTCGAGAACCGCGTCAACTACACCGTCGTCGAGGTCCTCAACGGCGACTGCCGCCTCGACCAGGCCCTCGTCCGCGACAAGCGCTGGTCCAACTTCGAGCTCCTCTGCATCTCCAAACCCCGCTCCAAGCTTCCCCTAGGGTTTGGAGGGAAAGCCCTAATCTGGCTGGTCGATGCTCTGAAAAACCGCCAGGAAGGCCCGCCGGATTTCATCCTAATTGACTGCCCAGCCGGAATTGATGCAGGATTCATCACCGCCATAACCCCGGCCAACGAGGCGGTTCTTGTCACTACCCCGGATATCACGAGCCTTCGGGATGCGGATAGGGTAACCGGATTGCTCGAATGTGATGGGATTCGGGATATTAAGATGATTGTGAACCGGGTGAGAACTGATATGATTAAAGGAGAGGACATGATGTCGGTGTTGGACGTGCAGGAAATGCTTGGGCTGCCATTGTTGGGCGTGATTCCTGAAGATTCTGAGGTGATCAGGAGCACGAACAGAGGTTATCCTTTGGTTCTGAACAAGCCACCGGCCCTGGCGGGGCTTGCTTTTGAGCAGGCGGCCTGGCGGCTGGTCGAGCAGGATACCATGAAGGCTGTCATGGTGGAGGAGGAGCCCAAGAAAAAAGGGTTTTTCTCGTTTTTCGGAGGGTAAGACTTTGAAAAGACCCTACTTTAATCTGTTTTGAGCTGAATATGCATGAGTTAAATTTTTGTATAGTAGGAGGTGGAAGTTGCATTGTTGGTTTTCTTGTGTGCCCTTTGTTTTTTATTGTTTATTTATGGTTGTAGTGATGGAAATCCAAAAGGAGTCTTGATTTTATGATCAGGGCTTTGGTATTATCATCTTAGAAGAAAAAATGGTATTTTGTTGGATGATCATATTTGTATATGTTGGTTCATTCTTTTGTTCTCGGTTCTATTGTTTGTCGAAGGCTTCGTTTTTTGCTTCTCTGTGTTTGCACATTTATTGTATACATTGCTTTATGGGTACAATCTGGTGATTTTTCTCACATGCTATAGTTACTCAGTGAAACTGAAGTCTACAAATACAGATTTAATTCTCTTCATGGATGGTTGTGAAAAGGGAGGAAACTTTTGGGCATGAATTGTTATTTTTCTCCCTAGGAACTCGGAGGAAAAATGTTGTAATGAGACTCCTTCACAGGGTGGAAAGGTGAAAGTTGAAACTTTCTAATCATCCCGAACTTCATCCTGAAATATATTCAAATACTACTTGAGCATGTTCCTCGCTCCATAATGTTGAATTGTTGACAAGTTGGAATTGTGAATTGAAGCACAAGTTTGTAGTCTGCTCAATTCTAATACTGGTCGAGACAATTCTAATACTGGCCGAGACGTTAAATTCATCCAGCTACATGACGCATGACTCGAAAGTTGAGTCTGGTTCAAGATTTGAGGACCTTATAGTGACAAAATTGGACATGGAGGCTCTACATTTTCCATACAGGGCCTAGAAAAATGTTGCCTTTTTTTTTTTTTTTTTTTCTTTGGAGTTTGCATGTTTTTATGCATGAACTGGGAAAATGTCTCCTCTTGTTGCACACCGCCGATCAGCGAAGTTGGATCCTTAATCTTTAGAAGTTAGATTCCATGTTCCGAAAATAGAACGTGTAGCTTTTGCTTTCTAGTGTTGGTTTTCTGTGTGTAGGATGGTTTTAGACTAATTCGGGCTAGATGCGTATGGGGTTTATCTTCCCTACTAGATTCAGCTAATTCAACG